TTTAATGGCTGAGCTTCAAACATAGGAAAGCAAAGCAGGTGTTAATATAATTATGAGTATTTCAGACAATTGAAATGGAGTTATACAACAATTACAACATTGATTCCCATTTCAGTAATTGCATTAAAACACACGCTTATATGAATTGGACCAAATGCACAAATGATCGACAAATAAGCCCACATTCCACAAATACCCAGATATGTCTATAAATACAAGTTTTAAATGTACAAACATGGGAGTTTTAATGTAAAAACACCCAAACACATGCTGCAATCAGTTGTATCAAAACTTTGAAAAAGTAACACATTTTTCAAATTTCTAAAATGCCCCCGCCCATGCGGTTGAAATTTAGCTTACTTTTTGACCAAAACTCAATTTTATATAGTATAAGAATATATATATATATATAGGAAATTATTAAAATCAAGACCCATTTAGTAAATCATGAAAATAATTGATGAATTAATGTATGAGTGAGAGAAAGAGAAAGAGAAGAATGTGAACAAATGAGTAGACAAAAAACTTTAACTAGAGAGAGAAGAATAGGAATAATTAGTGTTTAATGGATCTAAAAAATTTTACTTTTTTTTTTTTTTACTTAGGTAGGAACATTATTTGTTTTTTAGTTATGGTTGCAGCGTTGTCATTGAACGTCGAGGATTGCATTCTTCGAGGAATGTATTATGATGCAAAACTACTGAAGAACAAAAATGCAAATATCAATATCATCTGTGGAGTCAAAGATTACAGATCCACAGATGAATTGCTATTGTTTTTTTAAGTTACGGTTGCAGTAGGGGCTGTGATGTAGGTCATGGCTTGGGTTGTGGCACTACTCTTAGGTGGTTCATCTTTAATTAATTTATTAGCTTGTGCCGTGTCATAAGATGTATCCATCATCCTTAGTTTTTCAATGCCACCTGACAAGAAAGAACTTCACTTACGATGGTATGGAATCAAATAGTGTGACATAATTTAAATTATTGAATTTTTAAAAATCAGATCTAATTAAGTGTGAACTCGTGAATAATACTTGGAAAAATTAGGACCAGTAAATTTATTAATTGCATTCCAATGGGTGCAATACTTCTTGAAATTTAAACCCATGACACTAAACTAAAAGAAAAGCATAAAAAACATTTAAGGGTCTCCTCTAGAAATCCTCATAGCAAAGAAGAGAAAATCGGCTAATTTGCCCTAATCTATAGGAGAGAATTTCAAAATGGAAAAAAAATGGAGAATGAGGGTTCTAAAGGAAAAATATTGAGAAAAGAAATAGGCCATCAAACCGGAAGCTGATGCCTAATAAGGTTGAATATTTTATGGAAAATATCTAAAATTGTTCATTCAGAATAGGCATGCATCTCACGTGGACTAACTTCCGTCTATCTTACTTTCGAGAGTAAATCAAATGGCCAAGATGAAGTACTTTTATAAACTTAGTAGTTCTTTTTTTTCGTTAAGTGGAAAATTTTGAATTCAGAACTTTCAACTTACAATCTCTCTCTTTATCACCCAACCGTACTCTTCCTCGAACTTAGCAGGCTATGCTGCATGAAAAATAATTTAATGGGTGAACTAAGAATTTTAGAAAGTTTACCAACCTATCGCACACTTTACCCATTTTATTTGTATTATTTGTATCCGAATATCTTGTTATCCAAAACTAGGCCTTAGGATAAATCCTTGGCCAAATCAGTCGATGAATTTTTTCTTAACATCTTTACCACTAATTATTTCACGTTGTTATTCTATATGATCCCGGTATTACCATTTTTTTTATTTTTTTTTTTAGGTATAGTCTATCACAAACCAATACGAAAACTACAATAACAACACTACAGAATCAACTATGAGCTAGAAAAACTGTCATCAAAGCTCTAATTTACACACAAATCCTAATTTTCCTTCGTTTTCTTCCCATTCTTTCAACCATAGATAACAGTTCTTGATTGCATCAATTATTGAATCAACAAGTCCATCAGCAGGCATGGATTTCCTTTTGAACTGCCCCCAGGTGTAGCAATTGTTACCGAAAATACAGTAAGTTTTTGTCTATTTTATACACTTGTACACGACACATGTCTCAATACTACTCTCATAACTCATTTTCTTTCTTATATTTATCTTCTTAAAAACCAAAAATATTTAGTTCTTCATGTCCTAATCAATGGATTCAACTAATCCTTTAGCAAATAAATAAAATAATCGGATTCGAGTAATTTAAAAATAGTCCCTAGTGTTTCTTTCTTAGTCATTCTTTACATTGTTTGTGATATACAGAAGAGGGAAAAAAAATAAAAAATGAAAGGGGTTTGGTCATGCATGAGCAAAGCCACTTGACCACGCTTTCTATTATTTATTTCACAGAAGCAAAACCGGAACCGAACACCTAGACCTTCAAGAATTCCTGGCTTTGTATTATTGACTAATGGAGATTGCAATTGATTTGCCACCAAATCCAGATCTAAATGACACTGGATTCCAATATTTAATTGATTGAAATTGAACAACTTTCGATCATGATTCAAGACCTAACTTGGGAAAGAATGCAAATTTGGCCATATTTCATGTCCAAGATTTGACCAAATTTTTTTACACTTGGGGCTGCTTGGTGAAAGGGTTTGGGAATCACAAAATGGAATAAATCTCTTATTTGTTGCTTGGATTAAGCCTATTGGAATACATTTTTGGAATCATTTCTAAAAAATCAGACTTACCCCATTCCCGAGGAAATTGGGAGGTTTTGGACAAAACCCTCAACTTATTCCCTCAGACAATATTTATGACGGATCTACCCTCTCTTTCTCTCCATCACACGCCGCACCTTCTGTTTTTCTTCTTCATTAGATTTCCTATCTCTTCTTCTTAATCATACAGTCTTCATCTCTTATCCAAAATTTCTTGAAAAAAAAAATCTAAAGTAGATCTAAATGGGATAGGAATGGGCAAATATCTTTAGCGATAAAGAGGCACTCAACCATAACAACTCTTGTTCTTCTCGAATTTGGCCTACATCTTTTGGCTGATTGTGGAAAATCCTCAGCCAACAAAGAAATGGACGATATGGGTCGAGTCAAAACTTCTTGTTTTATATTTTACCAAATTTTCCTAACTACAAAGTACATTTAGAAAAGTGAACGCAATCCCTTGCATTTATAAACTGCAGATAGTTTGAATTTACAGGTTGCCTGAGGTTAAATCATGTATGCATTATTGAGATCTCTGAGATTTTGATTGATGAGCCGTTCATGTTTTGGAAGAGGGAGGACTCCACAGGCCAACGAAATTGGTTAAATAGCGCATTAAATACAAAACCTGCCAGTTTCCCATAAAGAGCTGGTATGTTATGAGCAATTTCTTTTTATTTTTTTTAACTTTCACATATTTAATTTATATTAAATACAAAACATACTAGTTTTCCTTTGAATGCTATTTAACCAATTTTTCTCATAAAGAGCTAGTATGTTTTCCATAAAGAGTTAGTATAAAACATACTATAAAACCTGCCAGTTTCCCATAAAGAGTTGGTATGTTATGCGTTATTTAACCAATTTTTCATATTTAAACAAATTTATGAAAATTAAAATAACGTATTTGAAAGTTGAATTTTTATTTGGAAGAATGCATTCTTTCGATGCGTTTTTCACCCTTTGGAAAGAGACTCAAAAATCACCACCCTTTGAAAAGTTAGTTTAAAAACTCCCTCTTTTTAGGAATTTACTCCTTGTTAATACAACCACTATATTTATTTTCTGGCATTAATTTTTGTTATGATTTATGATTTTCTTATATTTTATCAAAAAAGTTAATAACTATTGTAGTTACAATTATGGAGATGTTAATTTGTCGTTTGTGCAATTCTTTTGTTTTATAAGAATTGTTATATCAGGAGTAAATTTGAAATTTAATTACATTTAATTCCGAAACACTTGTCAAACCAAACATCAGAAATTGGAATGATACTAATTTCAATGTGTGAACCAAGCTAGATATTGAAATGAAAAATTTAATTTCAAAACTAGAGTTTATGATTCCATTTCTATTTCCGATTCCAATATGTGAAACAAGCACCCCTTGATTGATGAACCGTGAGGAATGTGATCTACATCCATTTTCACGTATTCACTATTTAGTATTTACACACAAAATAAGTTAGAATTACAAACTTAAGATGTATAACAAGTGATAACTTTGCATGCACATGTTTGGGACCAAGTAAGCTTACTTAAATTTCAGTTTTCACTCCAATTGAGAGTATGCTCACCATGTCAAACCGAAAAGATGATTACCAAGAAAATTCTTTAATAATGGAATCACAAAAGATGAGAAGATAAGTATGGACTACTTATGAAAAATGGGAAGTAATGACGAACTCCCAGACATCAGTATGAAGCAAAAAACATATATTCAAACATAAGGAAGCAGTAATAACCTGAATTTAATCACCAATGTGATAATAAGATCGATTAAGAAACACTAAAATAAACAAAGCAAATTGATATTGGGAAATAGGAGCAGCTGAAGAAACTTCCCTTAATCTGCTGATAACATGATCATGTGGCGGAAATGATTTTATGCCTTATTTGCTTTGTTGATATGGATATAGGTTTGCTCGGAAGGAACACCGAGCTCGTTTGCTAATTCAATCATTGAGAGTATGCTTACCATGTCAAACCGAAAAGATGATTACCAAGAAAATTTTTTAATAATGGAATCACAAAAGATGAGAAGATAAGTATGGACTACCAAGTACATAATAACAATTTAACAAAACTTATGAAAAATGGGAAGTAATGACAAACTCCAGGACATCAGTATGAAGAAAAAACATATATATTCAAACACAAGGAAGCAGTGCTAACATGAATTTAATCACAAATGTGACAATACGATCGATTAAGAAAGACTAGAATAAACAAAGCAAATTGATTTTGGGAACTAGGAGCAGCTGAAGAACCTTCCCTTAATCTGCTGATAACATGATCAGGTGGCGGAAATGATTCTATCTATGCCTTATTTGCTTTGTTGATATGGATATCTTCAATCAAGCGTTCAACTGAGATGAATGAAGAACCCCCATTTTGAATGGCCTTTCTACTCATTTCTTTCATTTCTTTAACTCTCCCTCTGATTGGATTTTCAGAGTCCATCAAGCATCTGATAGCTTTCTCTATTTCCTCAGCCATTACAAGATTCTTTGCATTTTCCATTCGATAATCCAACTTCAATTCCAGAGCTAGTCCCAATTCTCTGACCAATTCAAATGCATTAATTTGTTGCTCAGCATAAAGAGGCCATGTTGCAACAGGCACCCCAAACCACAGGCTTTCCAGGGTGGAATTCCAGCCACAATGCGATACAAATCCACCAACTGCTTCATCAGCCAGCACCTCCATCTGCGGTGCCCAACCACACAGCAATCCCCGATTTTCAGTACGTTCCAAGAAACCTTTTGGAAGTACGTCAGACAAATTGGAATATTCACCCATCCTTTTTGTGGGGTTATCCTTGGATGGGGGCGACCTGACAGCCCACAAGAATCTGTATCCACTCCGCTCGATTGCAATTGCCATCTCTGCTAACTGGTCAGGCTCAAAACTACCCATGCTTCCAAAACAGAGGAATACCACTGATGATGGAGGTTGGTCATCTAGCCATTTCATTATCCTTTCGCAGTCTGAGTCTTGCCTTTTGCCCTCCTGGTCGAGCAAGGGTCCAACTGTGTAAATTGGTGGTGTTTCACTGTCGGATATCAATTGATGCACAGCATGAGGTTCTAATTCTGCAAACGTGTTTACGATGATTCCTTTGGTCTCTTTAAACCTTGTAGCATGTTTCACGAATGAGGCATAACCACCATACTTGTTAAATGCAAAAGAAGGAACAACATTTGTAGGGACAGGGTGAGAATAAGCTGGAATGATCGAATCAGAATCCGAAGTCTCGAATTCTCTTCCATATTGGTTATAGTGAATCGGGAGATAAAGCATGAAGCCGAGAAAGGCAGCGCTAGAGGTGAAGAACACATAGGAAGGAACACCGAGCTCGTTTGCTAATTCAATCATTGAACTACAGAATAGATCAACCACTATTCCGGCAAGAGAAGTATATGGTTCTGATACTAGGTCGACTATTGCTTTTTTGACACGGGATTTATGGCTTTCCATGAGAAGAGAAATATAGTTTTCCCGGGACTTCAACAACTCTGCTGAAGGTGGATCTGCTTGAGGGATGTTGATGAATCGAATACCAGTGTTTGAATTAGCCACTCGTTGAGTGTATGACTCCATTTTGCTGGCAGAGATTGAGCTTATAACTAGAACAACTATTGATAGCCGGTCATCTCTTTCAGTCAAGCGCTTTGAGAACTCAACTGTGGATACCAAGTGACCTATGCCTGGTGATGGAACAATAACAACTGTGTTTTTTCCATGTTTGTAGCTTAGAAACTGATCAGTTTTTCTTCGAATCTACTGGTATGCTTCTGACTTCTCCCTGGTAGAAGCTTTATGTGTGGACGTTTCGAACCACTTGACAAAGAGACAACGATGTGATACTATTTTGTGTAGGAATATCTGAATTCGTAGACCGAATTCAATGTTTTAAGACCGGAGAGTGAAACAGAAGAGTTTCCGGATTGCGGTTCAACCGGTGCAAAGGTTTTATTTTTTTAAAAATATTAGTATTATTAAAAAATTAGTAAAATTCAGTTGAAACTCGCCGGTTTTTATCAAGCCAACCCCTTCTTAATTGGATTTGACGATTCAATTAAATTTTTGAATTAATCGTTAAATTGGACCGAAAGCATGATGTAATTATAGTCCAATCAGTTGAATCGACTAGTCCAGCTCCATGTTCAAAACATTGAAATGGATATGCTTGATGCTAGAATCTACCTATGAGACAATGTGAAGTAATGTCTGTGGCCCATTAGGCTTCAAGATTTGTGCTATCTTGTGAGTCAGATATTTTTTCGGTGTAATATTTAGCTCTCTTTCTTATGTGGACTATTTAGTAACACGTGGAGCAGGCAAACTTTTTCTTAGCCATCAAGTGATGTGGTGTCTTTGGCCCACTTCCCCATATCACCATTACACGTGTGATTTTGATTTTGGCTGTATTGTGATAAAGGGTTTGTTTGGATTGTAAGTTATTTGAAATATTTTTACTGTAGCACTTTTTGTGATGTGATGTATGTTAAATAAAAAGGTAATTGGGAAGGTAAAAAGGTGTATTGGAAATTGTAATGATGATGTAAGCAAATATATTTGGAAAAATAAAGGCCAATCCAAACAAATTTCAAATATCATAATTATTAAATCCAGTCCGGTTCGACAATTCAATCGATTAACCTAATGAACCAACTATAGAACCAGGTCGAATTGCTAATTAGATCGTTTGAGCAGCGAAACTGTTGGCTTTTCAAAGAATTGGCGGTCCAACCGGTCAAACTTGTATTAACGGTTTGAACTTGGGACCTCAAGTATAGGAATGTAGTACAATCATCACTGGATCAACAATCCATTTATTAGTTGTTTGGCCCTTGTTATCTTATATATTAGACTTTTATTTTTATTTTATTTCTCAAAAATAAAATTTATTTAGAATCTTTTAATAAAATTTTATTATTTCCCAAATTCCATATAGGCAAATTTTAATAAAATAACATTATCTAGTTTATTTCCATAAGTTAAAACAAAAGTTTGTTAAAAATGATGAAATTTTCATAAGGCAAATTTAAGTATTGTTGATTCTTATAAGAATTAATGATTCTATAATAAATTAGACTAATTGAACATTTACTAAGGCATAATTTATTGTAATTTCAACCATATAAAAAATTATAAGACATAATATTTAAATATATTTAATGACCTACCGGTTGGATCACTCACCCACTGGTTGAACCAGTAATTAGTTGACCCACCTCTTTCACCGGGTTCCTCCCCAGGCCGGATTTAATAACTATGTTAAATATATATATATATATATATATTGAAGTAGTTTCAAGTAGTATTCAAGCACCAAATACTAGGTTTGTTTGGATACTTTTTTTTTCAAATAATATTTCGTTTGCATCATAAATATATTTTTCAACTCATCTGTTTATAGTTTCAATCACATTTTTATCTCACATATATCACATCATAAAAAATATTACAGTAATTATTTTAAATAATATTTCAAATAGTATTTTATCTGTAAACAGGTATCTTGGGAGGAAAACATCTAGTCACCGTATTATGAGTGACCAACTAATATTTATAGGAGTACAAATCTAATCGACTATTTACAAGAATACCCTTACTAATATATTATCTACAAGAATACTAATATTCTCCTAACACTCCCCCTCAAGTTGGAGCATATATATCATAAGCACCCAACTTGTTACAAAGGTATTTCACCCTAGAGCCCCCTAAACTCTTGGTAAACAAATCAGCCAATTGATCTGCAGACGGTACATGAGATGTCTTGATGACTCCATCAAGTAATTTCTCTCGAATGAAATGACAATCAACTTCAATATGTTTTGTCATTTCATGAAACACTGGATTAGACGCTATATGGACAGCCGCCTGATTATCACACACTAAATTCATAGGCTGTTTATACTCAAACCCAATTTCAACTAACATGCTTTTCAACCAAACCAACTCACACACAGTGTGAGCCATAGCACGGTATTCAGATTCTGCACTTGATTTGGAGACAACTGTTTGCTTCTTACTCTTTCACGACACTAAATTACCACCAACAAACACACAATATCCTGTGGTCGATCTTCGATGTGAGGCAGAACAGGCCCAATCTGCATCACTATATCCTTCAATATCAGTGTGTCCATGATTTTGATACAACAACCCTTTTCCAGGAGCACCCTTAAGATACCTGAGAATCCGTATAACAGCATTCCAATGACTAGTACGAGGGGTATCAAGAAATTGACTCACAACACTCACTGCAAACGAAATGTCAGGTCTCGTTACAGTGAGATAATTTAACTTATCCACAAGTTTTCGATATTACTTAGGATCATCAAGTAATGCTCCTTGATCTCTTGCTAATTTCACATTGGGATCCATAGGAGTATCCACAGGTCGGCAACCTAACATCCCAACTTCACTCAACATATCGAGTACATATTTCCTTTGACATAAATAAATCCCATATTTAGACCGAGCTACCTCAATACCCAGAAAATACTGTAAATGACCTAAATCCTTTGTCTGAAAGGTTGCCTGCAGATTGGATTTAAGTTTCTGGATCCCCACAACATCATCACCTGTAATCACAATATCATCCACATAAACAACTAATAAAATTTTACCAGTATTAGAATTCTCATAAAATACAGAGTGGTCTACTCCACATCTCGTCAGACCGAACTCCATGACCACACTACTAAACCGGCCAAACCAAGCCCTTGGAGACTGTTTCAAACCATATAAGGATTTTTTCAAACAACAAACCAACTGCGAATTCTCCCCCTGAACAACAAATCCAGGAGATTGTTCCATATATACCTCTTCTTCCAAATCTCCATGCAGAAATGTATTTTTCACATCCAACTGATGCAATGGCCAATTGTAAGTTGCTGCCAAAGAGATAAGAAGGTGAACCGAGGTAATCTTTGCAACAGGAGAAAATGTTTCTAAGTAGTCTACTCCATACACCTGAGTAAATTCTCGAGCTACCAGACGAGCCTTCAATCTATCAATAGAACCATTAGGCTGTACCTTTATAGTATACACCCATTTACAACCAACAACAGGCTTACCTGAAGGACGAGGGACAAGTTCCCAAGTACCATTTTTCTCCAAAGCAAGCATCTCTTCCTGCATAGCTAACCTCCAACCAGGATCATTGAGAGCATGGGTAATAGACTTAGGAATGGATACCGAATCAAGAAATGCAACAAAAGAAGAATATGACAGAGAGAGACGAGAATAAGAGACAAAATTAGAAATAGGATGAGAAGTACAATGTCTCTTACCTTTACGTAAAGCAATAGGAAGATCTGACTCACAAGAGGGCGTCATACCTGAATCTGAAGATTGAGAGTTAATTGGTGAAGTGCGTAGCATATCAGGAACTTTCTCAACCATGGAACGACGAGAATAAACTTGAAGATTAGGACGAGATAAACGAGTGGTGGAATCTGCTGAACCCGATAACTCAGGTAATAAAGATGAAGGGACTGGTAAAACAGGAGGAGAAAAAGATGAACACTGGTCTAACTCACAAGACATACCTTGCTTCATAAAATAAGGAGTGGATTCAAAGAAAATAAAATCAGCACAAGTGAAAAAATGATTTAAAACTGGACTGTAACATCTATACCCCTTTTGCGCTCGTGCGTATCCTAAGAAAATACACTTAATGGCACGAGAATCTAATTTATCCACCCCGGGAGCAAGCTGATGAACAAAACACACACAACCAAAAATACGAGGAGGTAATTGAAATATAGGGTCCTGAGGAAAAAGAATGGAGTGAGGTAGTTGGCCTCTAAGAATATCGGATGGCATGCGATTAATTAAATAACATGCAGTTAAAACTGCATCACTCCAAAATTGTTTGGGTACATTCATGTGCAACAAAAGTGTCCGAGCAACTTCGATTAAATGTCCAATTTTTCTTTCAGCAACTCCATTCTGTTGTGGAGTGTGAGAACAAGAGGACTGATGAAGAATACCGGACTTAGTCATAAAGGTATCAAAAGGAGTGGAAAAATATTCTTTCGCATTATCACTGCGAAGTATACGTACAGGCACACCAAATTGAGTCTTTATTTCTGTAACAAATGCACAAAAAATGGAATATAGTTCTGAACGATCTTTCATTAAATAAAGCCATGTAACTCTGGAAAAATCATCAACAAAGATTACAAAATATTTAAAACCTAACTTTGAAGTTACTCCACTAGAACCCCAAACATCAGAATGAACTAACAAAAAGGGTTCCGAAACCCGTTTATTGACCCTAGGGATAAAAGAAACACGATGATGCTTTTCTAATTGACAAGACTCACATTCTAATGAAGACAACTGACTCAAGGTAGGGACCAACTTCTTCAAATTTTGTAGAGACGGATGACCCAAACGACAGTGAATTTCAAGAGGAGAAACAGTAGCAGGGCACGCAATCGGACCATTAAAGTTGAGAAAGTAAAGACCATTATGCTCGTGTCCTCCACCAATCGTCCTCTTTGTCTTCAAATCCTGAATGACAACAAAATCAGGAGAAAAAATAACTGAACACTGTAGAGATTTAGTAAGCTTACTAA